AGTGTAGGTTAATGGTTGGACTGGATGATCTTAAAGGTCTTTTCCAACCTAAACGATTCTATGATTCTACGATTCTAAGGTTGAGGACTCTGTGCATGCTATTGTATACCTCCTAACCCTTATACAGTCCTGAAAAGTGTTTGCTATTAAGTGTCATGTCCTCTTCTTGATTTTTTTTTGTCCTGTGGGAGGGGTCCCTCCCATTAATAAGCAAAAGATGATCAGAGGTAAGGTACAGTTATGGAAAGAATAGAGGAAATCCTCAGGCTTAGTTAGTTGGTAACAACTAGATGTTTTAATGATGCTTGAAGTGGTTTTTGGGAAACATTTGCTTTTATTATTATTTAATTTAAATCATTCAGCTGCTAATATGGCTGCTTTTTAAATAGGACACTCCATAGACTTTCCAAGATTTATTTACTTATACCAGTCTGACTATTTGTAGGGTACCACCTGTGGAATTCGTACTTTGTCAGACTCCTAACGGGAACATCGGACAACTGCTACTGTCTGTATCATTAAGTATTTGGGAGCCCTAGTCAAGAGCGCTCGAGTTCTGCAAACAGAGAGGAGAAAGGTTATATTGACTCTGAGAGCTTGCAGCCGTCAGAAAAGCTGAATTTGACTCCGCTGCAAAGAATAGGTTCTGCTCATACAGTGTATACGTAATTTGTGCAGTAATTGTGTATTACTGCAACTTCTGCCTGAAAGTTCAAGGACTTATTATCATGTATACCACTTTGTTTTTAAAACTCAGTTTAGCTGCAACTCAGAGTGAAGAATTTAGTTTGTGTTTGTTTAAAGCAGAACCAAACAAACCCCTCAAATGTTACGTAAACTCTTTGATGAATTGTGACAGAAGACACTTTACGAAATGTTTAACAATTTACTCTTTCAACTAAGGTGAGAAAGCTTATAGTCCAGTTTTCTAGCCTTTTAGGAAAACACATAATCAGGTTTCATATTTCTGACATTAAATTTTGTAGAAGAAAATGTTTACATTTTCTTTACCCAGAACAAAGAAGCAAAAGAGCTTTTGTTGTCCATATAATCCATTTTTAGTTCTGATCCAAGCTGACTAAATCCAGTTACTTCAATTAAAATAGTTTTAATGGTCAGTTTAATTCCTGTTAGAATGTTGATTTTTTTTTAAGTAAACAATAGAGTACATGGAAACAAAAAAAAAATGCTGAGAAGGGATGCTGTAAGGTCATTTCAACATTATTGATTCAGCTTTTATATGTAGTCTGGAGCACATGATTTTCGTTTATCTAAATTATGTATTACACATTCTGGGCATTTTGGTTTTTAATTCTAGAAAAATCCTGTATTTGTCTTGCAGCACTCCCAAATATTTGTTTGGTTAAAAAAAAATTTAAAAATCCACAATGTTTAGGCGTTCTTAAATCAGACACAAAAAGTTGGACTTAAAGCTTCATGTTTTTCTATGATTCTGTGGTATAGTTGCATTTTATTAATATTGAGAATTATTTTTATTAAAACAGGAACAAACTGCATAAGCATAGTTACACGTTTTCAGTCTATAAAGTTTCAGATGTAAGAATATAATTTGGAAGTCATTTGATTCAGAATTTAATGCCAAATTGTATGCTTTATCAAATGACCAAGTTTCAGAGCTTTAGGCAGACTAATGGCACTTGGAATCTGGCTAATTCTCAGTATTGTGCTGAGTAAAGAATGAAGAATCATTATATACAAAATATCTCCACATAATAACAGTGTTTCTCAAACCTCAAACTGATAAAGACTGTTTTAACACCCTAGCCATTTTCTGTACTCCTGCATCCGCTGCTGGGCATTTGGTTCTGGGAGGCCTCGGTGGGAATCTCCTGGAAACTTCTGCTTGTCAGTTATGCAAACACTGAGGTTCTTGCTGAGTTGGAAGATTATTTGCTAATAAGCATCTGCGTTGCTGCAGGATTTTTGTCTAAAGAGCTTTCCTTCCATTGCATTTTTAAGGGTGCTATAAACTGACAGAACTAGAGATGTGGATTATCATCACGAACCCTTCTTATCTAATGTTCTGTGAATTTATAACTGCAGTTTAAAGAAGATTCAGGGTTTATATTTAATTGCTGTTTTGCTGGGAGCATTTCTTTGCTAGAACACCCTTTTAATCATACATCATGATTTTTAAAAAAATACCCCTTTTAAATGCACCTGTCTGCCTGCTGCTCCATGTTTCAGCTCTGGTGTTAGAGATGTATATCCTCCTGTGGTGAGCACTTCTGTTCGTAGAAGACTTGTGCTTTCTCTTTGTGGGTTTCAAACAGCAATTGAAAATTTTGCAAAAAATTACAAATTCCTCAGAAGTTTGTATCTGGGAACTTTACTCACTAGCCAAACTAAATTTCCAGGCCAAAAAAAAAAAAAAAAAAAAAAAGTGAATTCCATCTCAGGAGGCAGCGGTGACTCATTTGGTGGGAGAATGGCCAGGTTTCTGTGCAGGAACGCTGCAGTGCACTCAGCTACCTGTCCTTACCCTCCTTCACCTGCTACTGCTGCCTTAACGCAGCCACCACCTGATGTGTCCTTATGTCAATGAATGTGTAGTTTTGTGATTCCATGAAGGGGCCTTTCTTAGAAGAAAGATACTTGAGCATCAGTCTCTACTTAAATTCTTTTTCATTTTTCCTTCTTAAATTTGAATACAGCAATATCCTTTCTCTTGTACTTCCTCTCTGTTTAAAGAATGCTATAGCGAACCCAGCTCTCATGCATAGTTGCTTATTTCCATCGCCTGATCCACCCAGCACAGTCACTTGTGAAGGAGAAAGGCATCAGTTAAGGAGACAAATGTGTGTTGGGTTTTCTTGTTTAAAGAAACAATCTTTCCTGCAACTAGAGAAAGGAAAAAGCAGTCTAAAGCAGCACAGTACAGACTGCTGCGGTAATGCCAGGGTATTTCAGCAGAGCCACAGCGCTCATGCTGAAACCATTGAAACCATTGTTGAATATGTTGCTGATTTTAGCACAAAGTTGTAGGCTGGTTTTGTACGTATTAAGTATATGTGTAATAGCACATCTTGCAGGATATACTGTGCTTCTGCAAATGCAGATCCAGCTCAAAAGCTAAAATAATTACTGAAACCAGCATATAGCGTATTAAAGTGCTTGTATCTTTTTTGCATTAGAGTAGTGCAGTGACCTGGCAGGTCTGTGGTCACCGTACAAATCTAGATCTTTCTGAAAGGTCCTGGGCGTGAAACAGGACTCCAAACTCCTAGCCTGAGACCTGGTATATAGACAGAATAACAGCTATAGCCTTGGGTTGATGTGAATGTGGAATGCATGATGATGACGATGAAAGGAGTAAATTTATATTTCGCTCTTGTGCTCCACTGTGTTTGAGAGTTGGGTGTTGAAGGTGGTCCTGGCAGTAGCACGGCTTATCTCCGCAAGGTACGTCTGTGCCAACTGTTGGTCACCTACTGCACTGTCAGCAGAGACATGGAAGCGAAGGGGGAAGCGGGCAGTACCCCTCAGAGGGCATTCGAGCTCCGTCGCTCGAGTCAATGCTATGCAGTCAGGGCCAAAAGGATTCGGAGATTACTGCTAGGGGGTAGAGTTCAGTGAACACCTTCATACCCCCAAGCGTGACTGTGAAAGACACATACACTATGTTCATTGTATAGGCTGCTTGCATGAATATATCTGTAGATATCCTGACACTAGACAGTCTGTAATGGTTCCAAGTGTTTAGATGTAAAACTGGTGGAAGAGAGGTTTACTTATTTTAGCAGTGCTGACCCTATCAGCTAAGTAGGCCTGGCTCCCTTTCTAATAACTTACAGTTTCATTAAGCTTCTTTCATGGGAAAATGCCTAGACTTACCACTAAACCCAAGTGAGTAATTGAGAGTATCTAATGATATTATTACTATACTTAATGTTTTAAGCACATCCCTTGAGAGGAAAACTAACACTTTCTTTTCTTGCATCAGGCTGACTTTGATGGTGCTGCAGAAGATGTAAAAAAATTAAAAACAAGACCAACTGATGAAGAACTGAAGGAACTATATGGGTTCTACAAACAGGCTACCATTGGAGATATTAATATTGGTATTCCTATATATACTTCACATTTACTCCCATATCTTGATGAAATCAAGCAAATGTTATGTAAATCTATATGATAATCAAAGGTATGCATTTATTTTGACAGAATGTCCAGGAATGCTAGATTTGAAAGGCAAAGCCAAATGGGAGGCATGGAACCTGAAAAAAGGTGTTACACCAATTAAATTGACATCATGTAGTCATGTTTATAGGATGACAAGTGAGGAAAGATAATGACTCTTACTTTCCTTTGCAGGTTTATCAAAGGAGGATGCCATGAATGCCTATATCTCTAAAGCAAAAGCAATGGTAGAAAAATATGGGATCTAGAATACTTAAAATAATTCCCACTAATAACTAACTCTACAGTAGCTAATGAACTAACTCTGTTGAGAAAAATGCAATACTGACTCTTTATTGTATAGTCTGACAGTAAAATCTTTTAAGCATAAGCTATTTGACTGTAAAGGGTATTTACATATATACTCTATTTTTAGATTGTATCTTAATCTAAATAAATTTGAACCTAATAAATTAAACTTTCTGTAAGAATTGTGGATCTTTGTGGGTATTAAATTATATTTAGCATTTTTATGGGAGCACACAAACAGAAGCTCTTTAGAGTAAAATAACATAGCTGTCATTTTTTGCAAATGAGTTTACGGAATGAAGTAAAGGGTATATGCACATGAGAGATGAGAAGAGGGAAAAGGTGAAAACTTTTTTATTTTTAAGACCCAAAGCCAATGTTTATTTTCAAAAAATCAGAAAAACTCCCCCTTTTAAAGGATTACAATAAAGATCTGGAGGAACAGAACAACTCTTAGGCATAACTGCATGCAATTGTACAGAAAGAATGACTTATTATGAAGTGCTGTGGACTAATCTTACACCTTCTGCCATTAAGATAGAGGGAAATACTCACAGACCAGCATTTTTTATATATCTTGTTATGTGTTTTGTCAATAAAATTTCATTAGAGGGTTTCAGCAGGTAAAAGTGACCTCCAGGAAGCTTGTAAAAGGAAACATCTCCACTTGTTAGATCGTGCCAGGCTGAAAAAGATACTTAAAGTGTCAGAGAAACGTCAACTATTGTGGTCATTTTACATAACTGTTTCAAAGTTATTATTTAATAATTATTTTAAATCCCATTTCAACTGTTTTGGTTCATACATTGAGACTGCTCTGTTGATTTGTTTCATTTAAGGAGGAGATAAAAGACTCTAGAAAACTCTTCATTAACTGATTTGATACAACAGGAAAATGTGCACGTATAAGAGGAAAACCATTTAAGCAAAGTACCTTCTAAGTCATGTGATTTATCTTCAGACCCATTAAAGCAGGTAATATCACAAGAGAAGGAGATATTCCTTTCTGCCTTCTCAAAACTGCAAACATAGAAAGTAGTAATAAAACGTTCCATAAGATACCTATATTTGGGGTTTGCTTCCACATACAAAATAGCTTTTTCTTTCTTCTCCAAAACATAACAAACTTCAGAAATTAGATTATGCAGAACGTTATGCAGAAGAAGGAATTACTGTATCTGTAAAATTCTTAGCTCCTTACCCTACTGCAATTAGGTCTAAAATTTTAAAGAAAGAACAGCCCAACAGTTAGGAAAAGAAGAGCTTCAACCTGCAATAAAAATTCTTAGCTACAATAAACAATTACGTTGTCTGCTTATATTTAAGTTCTAATGTTTCAGGGCCTTATCAGCATCACGTTCCTATGGCCAAAATGGGTCCCACATCCAAGAGCATCCTTGTCTTTGCCAGGGTAAGAAACCGTAACCACTCAGCTATGGGAGCTGCTCTGTAACATCCAGTGGGGACAGGAGTTTGGACAGAAGCAGCCGGTTGCTCTCTAGGATGCGTAGAACATGGCGATTCTTTGCTTCTGGTTAGGCTAGGGGGCCTTGGAGCAGGAGGCTGAATGCAGTGATCCCAAAGCATGATCAGTTGAGCTTATTAGCCTCAGAAAACAATAAAAAATGCAAGAACATTCCTTTTAGCGACTACTAACTTTGGATCCTAAGTAGAACTGTAATTCTACATGACCTGCTCACTACTGAAATAACAGTACTGGTTGCTACAGTAAGCAGTGTTTTCATCTAGGGCTTAAATACTAGAATATAAATGGAAAAGCACACAAAGGAGAAAACTATGTTTACTGTTTCATAGTCTTCTTGTAACAGGAATGAGAAAAAATTACAGAGAAAGAAAAAAGAAAACCCGAAATGATCAATTAAAATTGTAAAATACAAATATAAATGTAATACAAAATTGTAAAACTTATGAAAATGTCTGAAGAACTCTCAAGTCTTCTCTCAAAGTAATAGCTGTTTCTTAGCGACTTCACTTTTCAGAAGCTCAGAAGGAAGTCCACCTAAAATTTGCATGTATGTAAGAATGTCCTCATCTTTCGTATTACATATGTCTATGCTTTTGATGTGAAGAAGCGCTTCAGGCTGTTGGCACCAGACAAAATAGGTCAGGTGTTATATGTAATACACTTTAAATAATAATTTCATTAAGAATTGTTTTAGTAAAAAAGTACAGTGATTATCTGTCTCCAAAATAAAATGGCTGATTAGTTTAACACCCACAGAGAATACTTCTTGGAAATGGTTAGTAGACTGTGTTTGCTGAAAATACAGGTTATGAGTGAGCCAAGTACCCTCAAGGCCTGAAGCTTCCACAGAAAAATAACCATTAATTTAATTTTGTTCAAAGTTTGACTCTCACTATTGAAATACAACTAAGAAAATAATCTATTTAAGAGAAAGAAAAGCCTAGCAGCAGACACAAATCCAACTAATGTAGGACTGGAGAGACCAACCGATTGTGGAAATTTGCAGGAATAATAATCACTTCCATGAAGTACTATCTCATACTCAGGATTGCTAAGAAGCCCCAGAAGCAGAAGAATGGAAATACCAAATGCCGACTGAGGAAAGGAGGGCTGGGAAAAAGCCACTTCACTGTTGTTTTCCTGAGAAAGACTAGCAGAACCATCATGAACCTTGGAAGAAACTGAGGACAGATTAAAAAGCCAACAAAGAATGAGGAGGGAAAGAAATAAATGGACAAATGTACTGAGAGCTAGTGCAGGAGGTTTATGAAAGACTAGGTTAAGACCGTTACGTCACATGTTACAGAGTAGGGAGTGGCACTTTATATTTTGTTTTGATTACTTTTTACTATCAAGCCAAAGGCCACAGTAAATAATACAGTATTCAAAAAAGGTAGCATTAGCTTAAGGAGATCGTTCTCCCTAGATGAAGGTTAGCAGCAGTGAATATTCTGTAACGCGAAATTCTCCATCTGCCCCAGAATTACTTTCCTCTAAGAAAACAGAACATTTTTCTGCATGCATCCAGAAGCAGTGCTTGTTTTGTATTAAAGTCACTCTGCATACCATACTGTAAAATGATATTTTTACTCTTAGTAGCTAATATACTGTTTTGTTTTATGCTATTAATGATTCTGTAACTTATGTTTGGGGCGTGTGCCCCTGATACAAAAAGATGGATTGGCTCTAGTCCATACTTTTCTTTCAAGTGTAGTGCAACTGCAACTAACATAAGATCCAAAAGTGCAGTGAAAAGAGAAATTAAAGCAAAGTAAGAAAAAAAAAAACATGTAAAAACTGGAAAATTTAAACATAATTTGAATTTCAGTGCTAACAGGCTATTGTGAACAGTTACTGGAACTATATATGACGTGTAAATTATTAGCTAATTGACATGAAGTATATTCCTATGCAGTCACATTTTACAAATTAGACCTTTTTTTTAATCTCTTTCTTTTAATAGTCTCCTTAATTTGCAGTAAGAACAGTTATTTTGAATACTTGGGATTAAGTGATCTTCAAAATCTATGTGTTTTATGAATGGTTCACCTCCTGCATTCATATAGAGCAAGCATTGACACAAATACTAACAGTAAACACAATTATAATTTATCAGTGTAAAAAAAAAAAAAAACCCAACACACACAACAGTGCCATTTTTAGAAGACATTGTGCCTGAAGTAACAAACAAATAACAGGGTTCTTTGAGATCAACAGCATGTTTTAGGATGACTTGACGAAAGACCTTTGCAGAAGTGTATTTTCCTAAAGTTTTTGCAAATAAAGGCAAGTAACTATCTACTCCTAGAGTTCAAAGATAAAGCTCCTTCACCCAGGTATCTAAGCATGTCTATCTTTTTACCTGTGACCAAAAAATGCAAATGTTTTTTCTTGCAATTCTTCTAACAAAACACTTGTAACTTCCTTAACTATGGTTGTCATGTCTTTCGCAAAAGGCTCCTTACGACGAGATTCTTTTCCAGGAAGCCTTATACAGGACACTGCAGAAGAGGTGGAAGGAGGGAGGGAAAAGAATTATAGTTATTTCAGATGGAAACAGTAAAATAATTTTAATTAAATTTTTTAATCTATTCTGCAGAATATATAGATTATTTAAATTAATCCTTCTTACAGTTGATACAGTGTATTTGTCATTGCTATTACTGTCTTTTAACCCTGTAAGAGATTAGGTTTCCATCCCTACCTTTACTCACAAATGTTGCCTCTCCAATTGATCTGGTTGATAAATGCCTTGGGTCAGAAATCCACAGGGTCCCGATCTCAGCTGAGGTTTCAAAGCAACTTTATTACTGTTAGTACTAATAACAACCATTATTTTCAATAATAGTAAGGTTGAGGGTTGTGCAAAATATATCCTTTCAAGGGCAGCATTAGAAAGTTAAACTATGTTGGAATTGTAGAGTCTCTGTTTTCTTCTTTGCAGGCTCTTCAGCACCGCACGTAGTAAAATGTGTAATCGTAGTATAAATTGATGGCAATTTATATTTATATGGAAGGACATATTACATGCTTTTATTATATTCCTTTCAAAATTGGGGATTTTCCTCTCACTGTTTAGAGAAAGTAAGGAATGAGTAGATCAGAAAAAAATGTTGATTTTCTAAAAATCTCCTTGACATCATGCATACTGCCAAACTCATATGGAAGCAATGGGTCAGATGCAAAGTATTTTAGAAGAGATAGAATAAGCCACTACCTAATACCGTAGATACCAGTACAGAAATGTTTGCATCTTCTATACTTCCTTTCTGCACAAAACATCCCTGAAAGAGCATGCTGCAGCCTGATTTCATTCATCTGTGTCTGCAGTTGCTCCTAGGCCATCTCCTCAGTAACTTTGTTGGAAGTAGTTCCAGTGGACAAAAGCTTATTTATTTATTTACATTTTTTTAATTTCAAGAAAAAATTTATGTGACTTGTGCAACTGTTTACAGAAAGCGTGCAAGCATTTAGAGGACTGGTACAATTGCAATGGCAATGTTCTCTGTAAATGCTAAATTATTTCTTTTCTTTGTGGAAGGTCTGGAAAACGGCCTTTGTTTCTCTTCAGATAGTTCAGCAATGGATCTTTTTAGTGTTGATATAGCCTGATAGCAATGAGAATTACTTCACACTATAACTAAATGTCATTTCACTATAATAAATCCATAGTTTAAACTTCAGTTTTGATACAAGGAGTGCAAAACCATGCAAACACTCTGGATAAAGGAAATTCATTCTGTGCAGTCTTTCAACATTAAAAATAGTTCTAATATCTTCACTGCTAACCTTGCTGATGCCTTTTTTTAACATATTAACAGTATGCTGGTGTATTGCTGTTTCCGAATCATACCAATAGTTTCTGAAGCTGTCAAGCATACTATGGTCTTGTGAAATTTAGCTCTGAGGATATAACTTTTTAACCTAGTCAAATATAATTTGATCCAAGGTGGTACAGAAACTTAGTAAACTCAGGACCCTAATGGAAATGCTAATTCATAATGGAATTCCTTTCTGGATAAGACCCATTGGAAAAAGATTGCAGTGCTCTCAAGAACATTATATTCCATTCAAAAAATCTGGCTACCACGTATGTCAGACTTGCTTGACTTCTGCTTTAGCTACATAAGTGACTAACCTTCAATTGAGCTGCTGAAGTTTGCTCCAGTAAGCAAGTTGAGAAGTTCCGCCTCCAGCCCACAGAAAACAAATCAGCCTACAGAAAGCATCTTGCCTTTTGTATGGACAAGCAACCAGCTTCTCCATTCTTAAAAAAACCCAAGAAAACAACACATCATTCTAGAACAAGACTCTTCAGGTATAGGAAAATTAAAGTGAATTAAGTCTAATTTGAAACAATGGGCTACAATATTTTCTGTCATCAGAACTGCTTGTGCTACAACAACAACCTGTTAGATATGAGATAATCATGCAACAGTGGGAATCAGTTCGGCTTTTATAAGTGGTGATGGAATACTATTGGGCAACACCCTTGGTTAATATTTTCTCCTATTTGTGTCACTGACCACAAAGAACATAACAAACAGCAAAATAAATTGACACAGGGTTTCAGGATGACCGGTTAAAAACACAGGCTTTTAGAACATACACAAAAATATAAGGTCTATCTAAAGACCTAGAAAACATAAGGACCACCTACTTCAATATTCTCACTACTACAGTGGTAAAATGGATGTCTAGGGATGCAGTTTCTTTACATATAGGAAACAACTATGAATTTCTCTTTCATGTATTTATCCAGTCTCCCCTTAAATTCCTATGAACACTTAGCATCTATGACATCCTCTTGCAATTAGTTGCACAGCTCTACTATCTGTTGCTTAAAGAATTATCTCCTTTTTTGTTTTTAATCCAACTCCTACAACTTCATTTGATGGCCACAGGGTTGCTTAGGTATCCCTCATACGGCAGTGCTTCCATACTCATGACCATCATCGCTGCCATCTCTGGACTTTTTCTAGTTTTGTTATAACCTTTTTGAGATGGTGGAGTAACCAGAGCCACATTCAGGTTTATCACAGCAGCTTTAGTATTTTTGTTTACTGACTGACGGAAGTAACAGCTGAAGCAAGATTTATAACTACTCCTTCCTTCTTGCTGACATGGAAAAATACCATCAAATGCCAACTGCATTTTCTCTAGCATCAGATACTGTCTTTACTACCCGAAGAAAAAAAGCAGTTCTCAACCATTTTTATTCTTCTTTCCCAATTTCCTTGTCTTTTATTCTTGTGGATTAGATTTGTGTACATAAGCACTGAGGTGACATCCTACAACTTAGAGCATATCAGGCTGTGTTCTGTCAAAAGAACCTGGGAACACCATGTGCAACAGAAATACCTGGTAAAGATAAACTAATTAGAAGCAATAGTGATACAGAATTTTAAGAAATGTTTTCTGCTACCATTAGAATAAACTTGCATGTTCTTGTTAAAAAGACTGAAAAACTAGCAATTAGGAGATAACAAGCAGCAAAATTCCATTTCCAAAATGCTGAAAATTGTTACAGGTATTATTTCTCAGTGTGAATATAGCTCAGTATATACAAGGGCTGATTCATCATAAAATACACCTATATGCCTACTTGCAGACTTTTTTACCTACACAAAAATTTTGAGAAATGCAACCAGATCAGATTAGGCAGCAATTCATACCTATTTTAAAACTATGTAATGCAAGCAAGACAGAAAGAAATCTATCCAAATGTTGCTGTGGCTGAAATTTTCTTGATTTTCATGTACGTTTAAACTAGAAAGTTCGTCAACATTTGTTAAGAGTCAGTTCAAAGAAACTATATAAGAACAGCAACCCAAACAAACTTGTATCAAAAATCAATGGGCAGATGATGTGAGCTTAAAAATAGCTGAAGGATAGTGGAACCAGTGCTGCAGAAGATGTAATTCCTCTGGTAGATCCATTTAGCATTGTCCTGGTTTCAGCTGGGATAGAGTTAATTTACTTCCTAG